GGAATTCCTATTATTTGAATATTGGATTTACTAGATTGAGCTGCCTTTTTTAGCTTTAATCCCTACTTTCTGTCTTTGTTTCTTATACTTCCAGGGCAATGCTTCAATTATTGATTTTTTTCTATATAATAACATAATTGCAATATCCAAAACATTTTTTTGCCTCTGAATATAATTTTTATAACATTTTGTTCTTTCCTTCCATGGATACAGTATCTTACCTCTCTGTGAATATTATAGTAAGATCTAATTTAGTGTTTGTTTTCCTGTTTATCCGGTTCTTTTTTTTTTTTTTTTTTAAGATTTTATTCATTTACCTGAGAGATAAGGAGACATAGCTAGAGCAGAGGGGAAGAGACAGAGAGGGAGAGAGAGAAGCTGACTCCCTGCTGAGCAGGGCTTGATCCCAGGACCCAGAGATCACGGCTCCAGATCATCACCTGGGCTGAAGGCAGACCCTTAACTGACAGAGACACTCAGGTGCCCCTCTGTTTATCTAGTTCTATTTTTGCTTAGTTGTTTGGATCGCTGCCTTTTGGGTTAGAGGCTCTACTCAAATGCTCAGTGACTTAACTATTCATAACTAAATGTAAAGCGCCACAAAATTTGTTGGAAATCGTGTATATTGGGCAGAGCTTGTGAACTGATGTCCCTTCTCTTGGAAGACTATGTGGCACTCTGCTCATTTTGCCAGAGGACTAAAAACAATGTGAATATTTGTGGGGGTTTTCTCTTGGGTCAGGCAGTTTCCCTACCAAAAATTCTCTAATATCCTTCTGGGGGTGGCAGGGCAGGGTTTAGTCTAGCTGCCAGCCTTCTGGGAGCAAAGCAGGCAAAGAGTTCGCAGGGGTTCATCATTCAGGAAGCTGGGTTTTGCTTAATCCCCGTTGTCGGTAGGGTGTCTTAGCCTCACTCTTCATGCTCGTGCTCTGAACTCAAGGACACAGCTTCTTGTGCCTCTCCAGAGAGCAAGGGTCTCCTCCTCTCCCTTTCTGCTGCTTGGCTTGTCTAGGTCCCCGAGCCTCCCTGGACTCTGCCCGAGGAGTTAACTGCCTGGCCTCTTGGCTTCTCCTCCCGCAGTTGCTGTCTTCTGGGCTTTGTTCTAGCTGCTCAATGAGTTCATCAGCATCCATAGCTTTGTTGCCAGTTCTCACTAGCTATTGTCTCTTCCTTCCTTCTTTCTCCTAGTTCTTGTGGATTTATACCTTGAAAAACAATTATTTTTTTTTGATTCTCACTTTAGTGAAGTGTTGGTAGGGACTAGATGTATACATTCTGTCTTGTTTAACGGAAACCTGTAATCAGCTCTTAATATGAGTGGTGAGCACACTTGAAAACCTGGTTAGCAGAACTGAACACAGATCATTACACTGATGATCAGAGTCAGTGCATCCATCCTGCTCAGTTACTTTTTTATAAAAACTAAATTTGTTATCTGAAGGCCACCACCCACCAACGCTGTTTTATTGTCAAGCGCATCGCCTAGGATTCAAGGTACATCTATTCACTATGCTCTTTGTCCTTTCCTCATGATCTGAAGGAAAAGAAACGAGCCACAACAGATGACATGCCAAGCCATTTTCTTGCTTAGATGCGGAATTCTCCCACAGTGGGTGTGCACCTGGGTCAATACTATTTATGCAAGAGCACGGGTGTTTTGTCTCAATGAGCAGGAAAACATTTTATCACATTGTTTTGTGATACGATGTGATTAAAGCTTGTAGTTGTTTCCAACTAAGCAGTAAAAGGAATTACACAATGTAAAATGATAAATAAAAAGTTCTATGAGTCATCTTTAATGTGGGGAAAATGTGCAGCCAGCACAGAGACAGTGTTTTTCCTGCATGTTAAAAATAAAGTTGAACGCACTGAAATAAATATCAGTAACAGCATGTCCCAGAAGCTCCAAAAACGGTGAGACTTTATGGGATTCAGTGTAGTTCATGCTTTTTATTGAGATGGTGGAAACAATGTACAAACTGCTGATTTTATTTTTTACAGTAAAAAATCTTATGGCAAAATTCACTCTCTTTGTGTATGTTCTATGAATGTTGACAGAAACACTAATGATCGGTCCCAGAAAACACTCCCATGATTCCCTTCTGCTCCCCTGACCCCAGTCCCTGGCAACCACTGATCTGTTTTCTGTTCTTATAATTCTGCTTTTTCCAGAATGTCACGTAAATGGAATCATACCATACACAGAATTTTGACTCTGGCTTAAACATTTGTATACAGGTTTTTATGTGAACATGAATTTTCACTTCTCTGGGATAAATGCCTGGGAGTACAACTGCTGAGTTAAATGGTAGTTGCATGTTTAGGTTTTAAAGAAACCACCAAACTGTTTTCCAGAGAGGCTGCACTATTTCGCATTCTCAGTGGCTCTGTGGGAGTGATCCAGCTTTGATTCTTTTTTTTTTCAATTTCAGTGTTTGCTGAAATTCACTAGGAGATGCAGTCCAGGGTTTCAGTAGGCTTAAAATGCATGCACTGCTAAGAACCTCTTACTTCTGGAAGTGTTATGACGAATGACACTCCGGCGTAAACTAACTCACATACAAAAGGGAAAACAAAAGTCACGTTGGCCTACTCTTTTCCTCCAGAAACTTTAAACACCAGAAAACAATGGATGTTTACAAAGTCTTCACCTTTAATTTTTTTAAAAAGACTTTATTTATTTATTCATGAGACACACACAGAGAGAGGCAGAGACACAGGCAGAGGGAGCAGCAGGCTCCGTGCAGGGAGCCCGACGCAGGATCACGCCCTGGGCTGAAGGCGGCGCTAAACTGCTGAGCCAGCCAGAGATCCCAAAGAAAATGTTTCTTGTCCACAGAAATAGAAACGCATCATACATGTCCAAAGATGCAGTAGATTACCGCTCTGTGCAGGCTAACCAGCATCACATTTATTTGTACATACATTTCAGCATTCCTGATTGCCTCGTGCACTTTAGTTTTTTTAAAAAAATATTTATTTATCAGAGAGTGCTCCAGTGCATGAGTGGGGGGAGGGACAGAGGGAGAGAGACTCCTCAAGCAGACTCCTCACTGCACTCAGAGCCCAATCCCAGGACCCCAAGATCATGACCAAGAGCTTAACCGACTGAGCCACCTAGGAACCCTGCGCTGTGCACTTTAAATTCTAACAACCAACTGGCTCTTTCACTAATTGATGAATTACGATCTTGGTCGTGTGCTCATTTTATATTTGTATGAAAATCACAATTTTACCTTTTCTAAAAATTATCTTTTAACATTCATTCTAAATGGCACATTAGGTTTTGCTGACAGGAAAATGCTTCTAAAATATCTCCCTGTGGGAAAGAAGCAGAATCAGCAGCAGCCGCCGCCGCCACAACAGCCCCTGCTGCCAGAGCGGGAGGAGACTGGAGATGAGGAGGCCCTCATGGGCCCCTCTGGGCCCTCCCCCCATGGCCAATGGAAAGCCTGGTGACCCCAAGTCAGCTCTTCACAGAGGTCCTCCAGGATCAAGGGGACCAATGATTCCACCAGTGCTGAGCGTCCCACCTCCTCCCAGGGGCAGAGGCCCAATCTGGGGAGGCCTGGGCCCCAGGTGCAGCCCATATGGTCATGGCTGGTGGGGGGCCAATACTGAACCTCCTTTTCCTGGACCAGGCCTTGGGGTCCTTCCAGAGGAGGCTTTCACAAAGAGCAGAGAAATCCCCAAAGGCTCAAATGTTGGTCTCTCATCAAAAATACCTGCCCGCCCAAGGATGGCCCCCAAGTTATGGAAGACAAATCCAACTGCCCTGTCTGCCGTCACTTTGCCAAAAAGGGCCACCGTCGATATGAGGACCTCTGTGCCTTCCACCACCCAGGCGTCGACGGACCTCCTCTGTGAGACTGTGCCTTCCCATCCAGGCTGGAAGGAGCCCTCTGACCTAGCGGCCATACATTTCCCTGTGGCCCTGTGACGGCTACTGTGAGGCTGTTCCACCCACCACCCTCAGTCAGTGACACCCACCCCCATCTGCCACCTCCCCCATTTGGGGTCCAGAGTTTTGTTTCATCACTGGTGCCCAGCGTGTGGGCTTTCTTCCGATCCAGCCTCCACAGACTCGCCTTCAGGACCCCACCTTTGCTCTCTTCAACTGCCTCCTGCATCCTCTTCCCCTTCGCCGATTGACTGCTGAACAGGAGACCTCTTTGGTGCTGGTTCTTGTGCACCTGTCCACCCAGCCATCGGCGCTGCCCTCGATTCCTAAGAGCCCTGGAGCAGTTTCCTACCATTCCCTTCTTCTAGCTGCTTGTCTTAAGTCCTTTTTATGTGACGAACCCTACCCCCAAAGTTGCCAGCTGCTCTGTGAAACTCACCAGGTTGACCGGGAGTCAAGTACGGATGACTGGTGCAGAGTTGCTCCCTGAAAGGCCACTCTCCCTGCTTTTGGATTTTGTAGATCCTGAGTCAGTAGCATGATCCCCATTGCTCTGGTCTGTGACCACTGTGCTTTGTGAAACTGTGCATCCCCTCATACATAGCTTTCCTCAGTGTCTGTGGCATCATTGTGACTTCCCAACACTAGAGTTAAGTTTTTCTGCCAAAATGAGGGAGGCTCTTAATGCCCTCCTGACTTTCCACACCTCCCAACATGGGAGAATTGTGAAATTTTCTGCCAGACTGCCTCCCTGGTCTCCCCATTCTCCTAGTGTCAGTTTTTCGGGGTTTGACACAAGCCCATGAGACGTCCTCTAAAGCCTCTTACGGGCTATCCGATCTCCTCTCCAGCCCACTTTAGTTAGAGCACGTCATTGTGAGGCCACCAGCCCTTTCGTCTGAGTTCTGTGAATCTCCACCTGGCCTACCCTTGGGTGGAACCTGGACGGTACTGTCGCCCTCGTCTAACCTTCTCCCCTACATCCCTGGCACTGGTTGTTTTCTGTGAAAACAGCAGTGAACAGGTTCGGTTTTGCACTGGCCCTAAGGAAATGGGTCAGGAGTTGTGTGGGCAAGAGGGAAGGATGAGAGCCGTTGGAGAACTGAGAATGAATTTTTTTTTCTTTTCAACATTTTTTTATATTAGTAATAAATGCAGTGGAAACAAGCAAACAAAAAACAGATTTTTATCCCTGTGTAAATACCTGGCAGGCGGTAGACGAGCTCATGAGGCCATCTTCTGCCCTCCAGCGCATTTCTAGGACAAGTTTGCATGCTCCAGGATCTAGGACCTGTGTGTTTACACTCACCTATTGTTGAGGTTTTGGAAACAATGCCTGCAGTTGAGCTTGGGTCCTGAGAGCCTTCTGATGGGCGTTTCCTCATCTGCTCGCCTCCTTCCATGCCTGGCCCACAGCTCTGGGCAGGGGGCTGCTGAAGATCCCCGTGGAGCAACTGGCATCCCAAGGCAGTTAGATGTGAGGGCTTTGGAATCCATCTCTCTTCCTGAGGAGTTACGTGCAGAGGACCCCTGCAGAGTGTCCCTCGAGACCACCTCAGTAATTGCTTAGCAAAGGGGTGAGGGGAAAGAACCTCCAAAAGCAGGCAGGATAGTTGTTGGCCTCTGGACCTGTGCTCTCCGGGACGGTGGCAGCTGCTACCCACGGGGCTATTGAGGGCTAGAAAGGTGGCTAATGCCACTGAAGAATGGAATTTCTTTTACTTCATTTGACTTTAACTGATTTACATCTAAATTTGAAGACTGAGGTTCCTTTCAGCCATCTGAAAGCTCAGTATGACTGGAACCATTTGAGTGCGCAAATCTGCTTTTTGACTCTACATGTCATGTATACATTCGATGAAATCTAAAAACAGAAGAAATGTTTCTGATGACAAATCGCCTCCCGGATTGAAATATGCTGCAAATGTAAAACACACACCAGATTCAAAAACTTAGTAAAAAAAAAAAAAAGAATCCAGTAGTATCTTTCGATTGGTCGCCCGTAAGATGACAGCATCTTTTATGTACCTGCGCTGTGACACAATCCGTCTCCCCTGTGTCTTCATGTTCGCAGACGTGGGGCGACAAGATCGAGCCCCCCTGCTGGGCTGGCACCGCCGGGACAGGCCCCTCGGGCTCAGGGTTCTCCCATCCTGGTCCACTTCCTTCCACAGTCGTCGCAGACCAGCCCAGGGGCCCTGAGCCCCGCCCTTCTGCTGTGGTTTCCCGGGAGATCACACCACTTGCTTCCTCCGGTCCCCCCCGCGGAGCGCTGAGGCTCCGCAGGGTAAGCGCACCCCCACCCGCGCCCTGACTTTACCGGAAGAATCCTTCAGTTCCAGATACCGCCGTCAGAGGGCGCCACGCCTCTGCCCTGGTTGCCGAGCACCTCGTGTCCCGGAAGCAGTTCTCCGTCCCGCACCGCGGCGGCCGCGCGCAGGACCGTTTCCGGCGGGACGGGCGCGGGGTCGCAGGGAGCCGACTTGGGCGGCGGCGCGATGACCACGCTCCGGGCCTTCACGTGCGATGACCTCTTCCGCTTCAACAACATGTGAGTGCGGCACCCAGGGCCAGTGCTGGTGGCCGGGGCCCGCGGAGCCGCCGCCGCCGCCGCCGCCGGCCGTCCCCGGCACGTCCCCGGCACGTCCCCGGGGCGGCGGGGCCGGAGCCCGGCGGGGGGCGGGCCCTCCTGGCCGCAGCTTCCTTCCGCGGCGCGGCGTGCGCGTTGGGCGGGGGCAGCGCGCGGCGGCCCGCGGCGGCGCGCCGGGGGGCGGAGCGGAGCAGGGGACCGAGCCGGGAGCGGGCGCCGGCCCGAGCCCGCCACGGCTCTGTCGCCTGCGGCCCGGGTCCGGGCGGGTGACGGGCCGCGCGGCTTCTGGGCGTCGGCGGCCGCTGCAAGGTCAGCGTCCAGGTGTCCGCTGAGCGCCAGGACGTGGCGCCGCCGCCGCCTGCGGAGGGCTCATTCCGACCGCAGTAAAGCCCGGACGCGGCCCCGCCCACCCCCTTCGTGTTTCTGCGCGGAGGGTCCCGCCTCGCTGCTGCTGAGGCCGCGCGTCCGGCCGGGGGCGAAGGGGCGTGCGCTGCTGCGGGCCCGCCGAGTGCACTTCCCCAAGTCCTGCCCTTAAGTGCTTGTGCACTTCCCAGTTAGGGCAGGACTTGCGACTTGCAGGTACCAGTTGTTTTTTTTTTTTTTTTTTTAAGAAAACATATTATTAAGGAAGTTTCTGAACATTAAAAAAAGTTGACAGAGTTTTACCCAGAACACCTGAGTAGACACACCGCCTGGATTCTACAGTTGACATTTTGTTATGCGACTTCATCACACCTCGGTCCGTCCACCAGTCAGATATCCATCCATCGCGTATCTGTCGGTCCGTCCACCCACCAGTCCAAAATCCACTTTAAAGACGGCGGGGCAATGTGTGAAAGCTGAGGATCAAGTTTTAGGAGGACGGGAAGAACTTGAGAGGAGGTGGCTCTTATCCCCTTTCAGAGGGGATAAGCTTTGAAGGATGGATGAGATGTTGACCGTGATGAGGAAGTTGTGGAGAAGGAAGCAGGGGTGAAAGTGAAAGGTTGCATTGTGGGCAGACAAATGCGACCGGAGCCGTGGGTTTCTCTCACTGAGCCTTCCGGGCAACTGGCGAGGCTGGACTTTTACTCTGTTGTTGGAGGATTCAGACTTGCCTGTTGGGCCTCTTTGAGTCAATGCAGTGTAACTTGTGGTGCCCCCACCCCACCCCACCCCACCCCTTGGGTACTGGCACATTTAATCCTCACAGTTCTCTGAAGTAGGTGCTCTCATTATCCCCATTTTTTGTATGAGTAAACTAAGGTAATGAGAGCTCAAGAGCATTGCCCCAGGCGACGGAGCTCCATGGTGGGAGTGAATGAAGCAAGGAAGCTAATCCAAGGAGATTGGCCCTACAAACGTGTGGGTTCTTTAAGACTGGTCCCTGACCACCTGGGGACACTTTGGAAATGCTTATGCTCAGCTGTTTAAGGATCAGGGCTCTGGAGCTCGAGCTCCTCACAGTTATGTGAATGTGAGAAGACTACAGGAGTTTTACCAGACAGGTAAGCCATTTAGGATGTCTTGGTAGCAGCCCAGAGATGATGACTTGACAAAGGTTTGGGTTTGAGAGGTGCAGGCCTGGGAAGGGACAGTGTGCCTTGGAGCTTTAAGAGTAGACAGGGCAAACCCTTAGTTTAGTTTAGTTTTGTTTTTTTTTAGAGAGCAAGCTCGCACCATCCGTGCAAGTGGCCAAGGGGAGGGGTGGAGCCCTCATAATCCCAAGATCATGACCTGAGCCAAAAACAAGAGTCAGGCTCTTAAACCGATTGAGCTACCCAGGCACCTGCAAAACGTTGTTTTAGCTGAAGATCTAGGAAGGCTCAACACTTATATAAAATTGAACAGTGTAGAAGAAAATAAGCAGGAATATAATAAAACCTTAGATTTCAAAGAATTGTCTAACTTCTTAAGGCCTCTTCAGAATATGCCATTGGGAACTTTTCTTCCTTCCCATTTCCTCCCACTCCTCACTTTGATTAGGGTACTTTCATAGAGAATTCTGGGAATTACTGGATAAGAAGTGATTGCAGTAGGAAGTGAAGATGCAATAGATCCAAATAATTACGTATTTTACTTTTGGAAAAACATTTGCATGCCTACTGTGCTCAGTGCTGGAGACACAGCAGGGAACAAAACAAAAAATGTTTTCTTTATGGAATTTACATTTTAGAGTGGAAAAAAGATAAGGAAGTACAACATATAGAACTTAGTGTTCAGTACAAAGAAAAACGTGAAAACAGGGAAGGGAGGGATGCCTGGGTGGCTCAGTGGTAGAGCCTCTGCCTTCAGCTCAGGGCATGATCCCGGGGTCCTGGGATCAAGTCCTGCATCAGGCTCCCTGCAGGGAGCCTGCTGCTCCCTCTTCCTGTATCTCTGCCTTTCATGAATAAATATATAAAATCTTAAAAAAAAAAAAACCCACAGGAAAAGGAAATAGGAAGTGAATAGGGATTCAGCTTTAGGTAGGATATTTAGGAAGAAAGACCGAGGGCAGGGAGGGGGTGAGTCCTGTGGCTATTGGAAGAACTTCCAGGCAGAGAGGGTAGTAAGGGCACCAGGTACCTCTTCGTGAGGGGAGGCGCAGCAAGTATGGGTGGAGTAGTGAGAGGGTGGGAGTGTTGAGAAGATGAGGCAGAGTCAGTGGCTAGATCTTGGAGAGGCCCTCCTAGGAGTTGGGCTTCTCTGCTAGGTGCACTGAGACACCCAGGTGGATAAGTCAGGTAGGTATCTGGGCTGAAGATCGCAATTTGGGGGGCCACACTATACAGATGGTATTAATAAAACCAGGAGGTAGAGGTGATGTCAGTGGTGTAGTGAGTGTGGACAGGACAAAAGAAGTTCCGGGATGCTGCCCCAGGGCATCCGGTGTTGAAGGAGACCTAATGGCCCACTCTGGTGGGAGGAAAAGCTGATGGTAGCTCTTGGAAGCTGAGTGGGGAGAGCATTTCAGGTGGAGGGAGTGGGGAGCCACGTCAGGAACAGCTTGCTGATGGCTAAGTGTACAGCATGTCTGCGCATCTACCCCCGGAGGAAAGAGAATTGCGGGAGCAGGGGGCCTGGGCATGTGTGCAACAAGCAGGCAGTGGAGCAGGAGGCAGGAGAGGGAGAAGCAGAGAGCCTGACGTGGGGCTCGATCCCAGGACCCTGGGATTGTGACCTGACCTGAAGGCAGACACTTGACTGAGCCACCCAGGTGCCCCAAAGCAATGCTTTTCTTGTTGCTAAATTGTGTTCTTGAAAGTAGAGTGACTTTTTGTTTTTGTTTTAAGTTATTCATATTAACATGTAATTGATTTATTATTTTATTTCTTTTTTTAAATTTATTTATTTATGATAGAGGGAGAGAGAGAGAGAGAGAGAGAGGCAGAGACACAGGCAGAGGGAGAAGCAGGCTCCATGCACCGGGAGCCCGACGTGGAATTCGATCCCGGGTCTCCAGGATCGCGCCCTGGGCTGAAGGCAGGTGCCACCCAGGGATCCCTTGGGTGCGCCACCCAGGGATCCCTTGATTTATTATTTTAAAATGTATATTTAAAATTAAATATCAGTAGATATGACACACATAAACAAGTTTTTTGGGGTCCTCAATAATTTTTGAGCGTAAAGGGGTTCTGGAACCCAAAAGTAACCCAAAAGTTGGAGAACTACTGGCCTAGAGAAGTGCCTTGGTAAGGATCCCAGAGAAGAATTTGCATATATAAGAGGAAGATTTGCAGGTGGCTGGTTTTGATCCTGGCAAAATAGTGGTTCCATTAATTGAATAGGAAAGTAAGGGGCAGAGCTCTCTGCAGACAGCTAGAGAGGTTCATTTTAAGAATTGCTGATTCAGGAGTGTTGTGATCAGATACGCTGGTGAGACAGGTGCTGAGCAGCCCCAGAGCCAGGTCAAAGAGTTTTCCTCCAGAAGTTAAGGGATGGAGTGGTGGGGAAGAGGAGGTGAGAATGTAGAAGTGTGTGGAGCAGACTTACTCAAATGGTGAGGGCCCACACCCACACTGAGCAGGTGAAGGCCCAGAGATGGGTGGGAAGGGCTGCTATCAGACACTGCAGGGAGCTAGTTTTACTTTCTGTGATTTAGGTGCCTGGTTGGGCCCCAGTTCCATTAATGATTTCTATATGATGCCATTTAGAAAATGGAAGGTTTTGATGCAGATACACTAACTACTTAACTATAAAGTAATTTGTAAGGAAGAAAGAGTGAAATGAAAGTGTATAGTATCTTTTTAGTGGCTGTGATGGCCCGGTTTAGCCATTTGGTAGCTGACGCCATCTTCCTTAGCCCTAAAGTTGGTTTTAAAGTTGTGGATGTAGCATGTTTTGTTTTCTTTGTGCATATTTTTGGTTTTAGTGGCTTATTTAAACTGGTTTTGTCAACACTGCTTACTACTGACATTTCTTTTCTTTCTTTTAGTAACTTGGATCCACTTACAGAAACTGTATCCTTTAAAAAAAAAAAAGTTAAAGGCTAAGAGTAAGGAACATGGAGAAACTAAGGAAAAAATAGACTTGAAACTTACAGGCCAAGAAACATAAGCAACATTGAAAGCAATGTAAAAAAACAAACTAGGAATAAGAGCTGTCTTACATCTGCCTGACCAGGTGGTAACAGAATGACGTCATAAATGTACCTTGCAATAGGTAGTAAGTATGGCTCCGTGTAACAGAATGCAGCAACATCAGCTGACTGGAGCCCAGCGGGTGATGGGCAGTCTGTGGTAGTTTCATGTAGTCGTCGGCGACCTGGCTGTGCACTTTAACCACTTTATCACTCCCAAGGTGGCCTTGGCTGCTTTCCTGTCCCAGATAGCTGCCAGAGCAAAGAGCATCAAGTCCATGTTCCTGGCAGGAGGATCAACAGAGGGGAAGGTAAGAATGACCTTCCCCTTCAGGGGTACCTTTAGGAAGTACCACACAGGCCCTCTGTATCCCAATGACCAACATCTGCTTCATGCCACACTCACCTAGCTATACGTTTGGGAATGAGCCTAGCTTTAAATTAGGGCTTGCTACTTAAAGTTAAGAAAGGATTTGGGGATAATAATTAGCCATATCTATCATGTTCCCCAATGAAAAATGGACAAAGATATGTGAAGTTGGATGCTCTGGGTTCTGTTGTACTAATAGACAACTCCACATTCTCAGTGGCTTAAAACAAAGTTGGCTTTCTAGCTTATACTCCATGTCCATTGCAAGGTAGGAATGTAATATTAACTGATAATCTAACAAAAGAGGGCATATAAGAAGCTAATGAAATTAAGAGTTCAGTCTCACCAGTCAAAAGACATGGATTAAAACCAAAATGAGATGCCATGCTTTACCTTTCAGATTATCAAGGATTAAAAAAAATGATAAAACTCATGCTGATAAGAGTAAGAGAAGCATCCTCATAAATTGCTAGTGACAGTATAAATTGCTAGTTTTTCTAGAAGGCACTTTGGCAGTGTAATACATAGTAAGTAACTGCATTTCCTACAAACTGAAAGTAATAGTAGAGTCAGTTAGATGTAGGATCAGCCAAATTTGGTCTGCTGCCTATTTTTATTTTTGTAAATAGTTTTATATTTTGTAAATAGGCACAGCCATGCTGAATAATTTACATATTGTCTGTAGCTTTGTCCATGGCTTTCATAGTTAGAGTAGTTGGAACAGAGAGCATAAGATCCATCTAGCCTTGAATATTTACTATCTGTCTCTTGATAGGATATGTTTGTTAACCCCCAAGTTAATCATTATAAAAATATTTATTGCAGAATTATCAAAAATTTGGAATAGCATTCATACACAACAATAAGGAAATGTTAAATTATACTGTATTCGTGAGGAATTTTAAAAGATTTTCGAGAAACTGAAAATAACCCATATTGTTCACGCAATGGAGTATACTGTACGGTATTAAAAATAAACTTTAGGTGGAGGTAACAACAGGGCTATGTATCAGAAACAAAGCTGAGTGAAAAAGCAAAACACTGAAGTATTCCCTTTGTATTTCAAAAATGACCTTTTAAAGAGCCCTCCATGTTTAAAGAAAAGATTTCTGAATGAGAGAAAAATTTACACTGTATAGTAAGGTAAAGAATTAGGATGCAAATCAACTTACATGGTGTGTATCTAGTTACACTTATAATTTACAGGAAAAGTCCCATAATCCAAGTGGGGCCATGTTTGAAAGTAACCTGCCAGGCCTTCGTGGTTACTGAGCCAGAGGAGAGGTGGTTATGGTGTGTGCAGTGGCTGAATGACAAGACTGGCTGGCCTGCCATGCTAAGGGTTATGTTGGAAGAGTGCTCAAAATAGTGGCTGTCTTTCAGATGAGAGTGTGAAGAATTTACTAGTGAACAGATTTTCGAGGAGCTTTAAAAAAAAATTGTGATTGATGGTGGCCCCTCATGGACTTGCATCAGCCGGCTTACAGAAGGAATAGAGGAATGAGCACATGGCAGTAAGGACACTGGGGTTGAGGAGTTACTAACGAGCAGATTATTCAGGCTGTCACTCTTAAGTCACCTTTTATTTGTAGTACCAGATATGGAGAATTTGAATCAGCACAGGGGAGACACTCAGTAATTGTTGACTCTGGAAGTAATTAACTTCTAAAGTTATTTTCACAGTCACATGGCTGAAGCTAAAGTAGGATAGTCATTAATTTCCTAGTGCAATTACGGGTCAATGTACAAATGTACTGAGCATCTACTTTGTGCCAAGGGATAGAAGCACAGGGATAAGCACCAGGGATAGAATGAACAGTACATGACATTCATATCCAAAAGGGAGAGCGCCAGTAAACAAGTGATAAGTGTTGTGCAGAGATTTAGATAACAGTGTGATCAGTATGGATAGAGATGATAGAACTTCAGAGTCCTGGTTCTCTGCTCTGTTAGATGGTGTTGTCTGCACTTACATTTTTGAAGTTACATATTCAGGCAATTTTGTTATAAATTATTAGTGCTAACCTAAATATTTAATGTACTGACTAAATATAGAAATCACACACACATGAAGAGCTGGGGATAAAGTAACAATATACTTTTTAAAGGAAACTTTCTTCACAATACTCCTTTTATGAAGAACTCTACTGTCCATTACTTTCCATACTCCTTAACAAGACTCTAGTATGGGATTCCTTTTTACTTACAGTACCTCGCCCACTGGCCAGAGTACTTCATTGTTGCGGAGGCACCTGGTGGAGAGTTAATGGGTTATAGTAAGTATAATACCACTAGAATTGTTTTGGGTAGGCAGTTGAGATTTTTTTTTTTAAGATTTTATTTTATTTATTCATAGAGACAGAGAGAGAGTGAGGCAGAGACACAGGCAGAGGGAGAAGCAGGCACCACACAGAGAGCCTGACGTGGGACTCGATTCCGGATCTCCAGGATCACGCCCTGGGCTGCAGGCAGCGCTAAACCCGCTGCGCCACAGGGGCTGCCCGGCAGTTGAGATTTTAACATAGGTTTCAACCAATTAAGTTGATTGCAGAAGTGGAAATACAATCATGATGCCTATAATTTTATTTCCTTTAACCATTAAATGGTTGCTGATGCTATGTTTTAGGCATTGTGCTCTAGGGCCCCAGGGGATAGATACAGCAGTGAAGTAGACAGATAATGGTTTTAGGATTCTTGGATCTTTCATTCTGTGTTTATGTTACATTTTTCTACATGGTTTATTTGGTACATAATGCAGGGATTGTAGCATCTTCACTGATTAGTAGCATTACTTAATAAAAATTTGAGCTGTGGATTATCTCAGTTTTGTGTATACATACCAACATAAAATGCAGATATTTAAAAAAATACATAATCTGGCTCTGTGTTAAAAATCAGTTGTGTTTTTAGTGTATCATTCTTTTTTTTTTAAAGAAACCTTTCTCTAAGTGAGATTCAAATAAGAGCACTAATAACTGCTAAGTAGATGACTTTGTTCCTTAAAAATTAAAACTTTGTCATTAGTTTCCTCTCTAATAAAAATGTAACCAATAGTCTATATTCATGTATAAATCCATGTGTTTAATTACTGAGTGTAATCTTTTGTTGGCAGTTATGGGTAAAGCGGAAGGTTCAGTAGCTCGGGAAGAATGGCATGGGCACGTCACAGCTCTCTCTGTCGCCCCAGAATTTCGACGCCTTGGTTTGGCTGCTAAACTTATGGAGTTATTAGAGGAGATTTCAGAAAGGTAAGATACTGCTTTTCAAGTATGAACCCTATCTATTTGATATTTCTCATAGTGAAAATTTTAAGATTTTTTTCCTGTTCAGGCTGAATATTGTGCTTTATTGTTTACAGGATTTCATTTTCTACAGTATTCACATATTCACAGTAGTAGTATTGTCTCTATCTTGCCACTGAGGAATATTCAGGCAAAATGGGTGACCTGCCATGGGCTTATATGTTGGGTAAGAGGTACAATAAAAAACTAGCCCTTAAGGTTTCCTTTAGTGTTCTTGACCCTGTGGCAGATGTTCCCAAATTTTCTGTTAACATCACTCCTGGCTTCTCAGTGATTTTTTTTTTTCATAGTGTCCCTAAGGCCAAAAAAAAAAAAAAAAATCCCTCAGTTTAGATTTAAGCTGTTATGGCCTGTTTAGTATTTGTGACCTAACAACCTAGTAGCTGTTTAGGAAAAAAATAAACACGTTGAAAGAAAAAATATTTTTATTTCATTGTTAAATAACTGTGTTTACCTACTAATGAGATGTGTGTGCCTTTTTGGGCATTACATGACCCCTCAACCTTGGAAACAGATTGGACACAACCACCTGCATTCTTGTTTCATATTGACTTTCTTGTGGTATTGAGTTTTAATCATGGGACCTGCCAAAACTTGGCTTCATAAAAGATACTCTGTCATCAAAAGGAATGTAACACCATGTAATGCTGCATTTGTGAATTATATCAAACTGGTATTTTGCCAGTGTCTGACATGTAAGGTTTGTGTTTTCCCCAAACGTTTGAAATATCCTATAGCACCTCTAAGAGTTTGGGCCACCTTGGAGTACTCTGGAGCACAGTTTGGGAAGTACCAGCATTAGGGCTTTAAAAAAAAAAAGACCTGTTGTGTATGTCAAACACCCTCATTATTAACGTGAGATAAAAGTAATATAATTAAGGGATGCCTGGGTGGCTTAGCGGTTGAGTGTCTGCTTTTGGCTTGGGGTCCTGGAGTCCCGGGATTGAATCCCACATCGGGCTCCCTGCATGGAGCCTGCTTCTCCCTCTGCCTGTGTCTCTGCCTCTCTCTCTCATAAATAAATAAAATCTTAAAAAAAAAAAAAAAAAAATATATATATATATATATATATATATATATATATATACACACACATATATATATATATATATAATTAAAAGACTCCTGCCAGCTCCCATTCTAAGAGATTAAGAGATGTGTGTATAAGTTTAATCAGTTGTCAAGCTGCCACTTATTTTTTTTCTCTACTCTTAAATGCCTAGAAGTATATAGGAAAGGGGGTATTTGCTGAGAAGGGCTCTTGAGGCTTTCCACTTAATGGATTTAAAAAGGTAAGTTTTAAAGAAGTAACCATGGCCTGAAAATGCTCTGGGCCAAGTTGGGGGCAAGACGAACTTGAGCTTATTCAGGGAAGAGAGAAACTTGTATTAGCTGAAAAAGAAATCTCTTCTGGTCTTTGAAAAGTTTTAGTTTATTTGTTAATGGCATTATCTTGTTGAAAAAAGGTATTTGGCATTATTATATAGTGGACAGGAAGTTAAAAAATGGGTTCTAGTTAGCTATCACCCTAGACATACGATTTAATGTACTTATAGATTATCTTACAGTAGAAAACCTCTAAGCTGCCTTCCTTTTCAGTTTCTAAATCTTCCTTACTTTGGAATTGTTGCTAAGATTTGTGTATGTGTACATATATATATACCTATCTACATACATACATACATGTATTTTTAACCGTGTATACATTTAAAAACCAAGAGAGAAAAAGGAAATTAAAGTGGTAAAACAAGCCTGAAACGAGATGTTAGCTATGAATCCAAATATAATCAGTAAATACAACACTAAATGAAAATGAACTAATTACTCCAGTTAAAGACTTGAAGACATTCTGCTAAGTGAAGCCATTCACAGAAAGACAAATAATGTGTGATTCCAGTTATACAAGGTAGCTAAAACAGATAAATATAAGAGTGGAATGGTAGTAGCCAGAAACTGGGGAGAGGGGGAAATAAGTTACTAACCAGCAGGTATAAAGTTTCAGTTAAACAGAATAAATAAGCCTATTTATTCTTAAATCAGTCTGTTGTACAACACTTGTAGTAAACAATAGTGTACATTTAAAATTTATTAAGAGGGAAAACTTCATGTTAAAGTGTTCTACAACAGTAAAATAAAGACAAAGACTGTCAGAACTGTATTCCATTTGCATGAAGTATATGTGAAGATTAAAGACAAAGATTGAAATAAATTCTTAAAATTATCATGCAAATTATAACCAAAAGACCGTTGATACGCTTAACATAGTCGTATTATAGTTCAGTAATTATCAGAGTAAAAAAGGGTCATTGCTTATAGGTAAGAAGATACAGTGCCATTAGAAGGTGTAATAATTACAAATTTTATGTACATAGTGACATAAATTCAAAGTAAAAATGCGAAAATTGATAATACGAGAAATAAGCAAAATGTTATTAATGGGAGAGTTGAACATGCTTCTTTCTAATTGATAGAACAATTAGACAAACTGATCAAAGGCAAAGAATAAGGGTGAGTACTTTTTCTGAGGCAGATAAATATTTAGGCTTTAGAGACCAGCTCATGTCTCTAGTGTGTGTTTGTATATGTGTATGTGTGTATATGAAACACCCCTTCAACATTTTAAAAACTGTTCTTAGCTTGAGAGCAGTATAAAAATAGATTGCAAGCAGACCCATTTTCTTAACAGATTACGATTAGTTGGCAAAAATCTTTCTAGAAAGCTATGGCTTCTCTAGCAAATTGTACCAACTATTCTAAGTAGTAATGACTATATGTTCACTTTTACACACAAAAAAAATTCAACATTTTTTAAGGCTAGAATAACATACATATATAAGAAAACTCAAGCAATATGAGAATGAAAATCTGAAGAAGATTTATCAGTCTATAGATGCAAAAGTCTTAGCATCTAAAATCTTAGCAAAATGGATCAGTGTATCACGGGAAGAAAAGTTTTAACATAAGAAAAATCTTTTAAGTGTATTCCACCATATTAACAGATTAAAGGAGAACATGTTATCTCAGTATGTATGCATAATGCTTTGATAAAATCCTATTGGTCAAAAACTTTTAGCAATGTAGGAAATAAAAGGGGAGAACTTCCTTAATCTAAAAAAAAAAAAAAAAAAAAAAAAACCTATCTACCCAAAACCTGTAGTAAATATTAGCAGTGATGCATTGAATGCTTTCTCTTTGAAGAAAGGGATGAGATAAGGATGCCTACATCTGAGCCTACATCATCTGATGCCTACATCAGAGCCCCTCTCTGGTAATTTACTGGAAATCCTAGACAATACAGCAAGAAAAATCAAAGATACGAGGACTGAGAAGAAACAAAGCTCTTATTTTATACACATAAGATTGTACAAACAAAACCACAAGAAGCTACAAATAAATGTTTAAAAGCTAAACAGAGTTGTTGGATAGTCAGTATAAATTAAATTTCATTTCTATACAAACAGTAAAATTTAGGAAAAGATGCCAGTTTACAAAGGCATCAAAATACATTAAGCCCTTTGAGAAATATCTGACTTCTCTGTGTAAGACTTCTCTAAAGTCTTTCCTGAGATAGAGAAAAGATGACCTATCTTAGCAGACAGAGAATTACCTCAGTGGCATGGACAGCTAAACTGGTATTTTATCCATGGAGCCAGTGTAATTGTAATCAAAATCTCAAGTCTTTTTTTGTGAGACTTGTTAAATTGATTCTGAAACTTACGGGGGGGGGGGGAAGAAACTTACAGGGGAATGGAAGGAAGTAAGGTAAGATTGTTTGAACAACAACAAAGTGGGTGGGTTTGCCCCTCCACATATCAAGCTGTAATGAGTAAGCTCTGTATCAGTGCTGGAGTACTTGCCTAGACCAGTGGAAGAGAACGGAGGAACAGATGCAAGGATACATGGATTTTGACATACCTCAGAGGAGGCAACTGCAGAGCGGCAGTGAAGGGATATGCTTTTCAGTAAAGATGGTGGCACAACTGGATAGCCACATGGAAAAAAATGACCCAGACTATTACCTTGTACACAAATCCGTTCCAGATTAAAAACCTAGATATGAAAAGCAAAACTCAAAAGCTCTTTTAAGGTAAAATAGAGTATATCCAGGACCTCAGGGTAGAAAAGAACTTAAGCTACTAAAAATCTGTAAGGGACAGGCTCGTATGCAAATTCATTGAAGTAACACTGTTCATCAAATGATATTAAGTCAGCCCACAAATTGAGAATAGATTTACAACAATCCTTTACACAATGTCAACGATCCAGAATACACAGAGAACCACAGATGGGGAGAGGAAAAAAAAAAAAAGTGTGAAAGACCGACTAATAAGGACTGAAAAATAAAAACCTAAACAGCCTACAAAAATATATTTAGCCTCATTAATTGACATGAGAAATGTCAATTAAAATGACTCTGAGATACTTAACGAGATTTAAAAAAATAGTCTGATGTACCAAGCCTTGGCACTCTGGGAATGGAGTCTTACCCTCCTCTGGGAGTGTAAGCTGACTGGAAAATGGGTATTACCTAAAAAACCTGAAGTTACCCGTATGAACCAATGATCACACTCCCAGCTGTAGACCTAAGATATTATACCATGAGACAATAAAAATATTCATAGCAGCATAGTTTATAATAGAAACCAGGAATGTTTATCTGTGGGACCATGGACAACTTGTATATCCATCCATACAATGGAGTGCTAAACAAAGGGAAGGTGAACAAGATCTAGCACTCCAGGCTGACTTGCATATTACTGAGAAAGGCAAATCACCACAGGACATACAAAGTATAACACTTACAGAAAGTTCATAAATAGGAAAAACTATACTAGCTGATGAACCTGCAACAAAAACCAAGGAGCCAATGAGAGTAAGAGTCAGGACTTGGAGACCTCTGGGTAAGGGGGATGGCTGTCAATGACCAGAGACCCGAGGGCTTCAGAGCTGCCAGGGTCAGGCAGCCAGTGTCCTGTAGTTACACTTGGGCCATGGCTACATGGGTGCTTGCTACTGTTCAAAAACCTTTAATTTGTACATATGGGTGAAAATATTGTATCACTAGTTGTTAAAATGAGCATGTAATTTATTGTGATATAAAATATTCAGTAAATTTTTAAGAGGTAGAATTATGGTTTTAAATGTTTTAAAAAAGCTTATCTTTTAAGAAAGTACAGGTTTTAAACTGTTAGTATGCCAACAGAAAATCATCTTTGTACTGTCATATATCCTCAGTAATAGAAATTGGTATGAGATAATCATCTGCAAAGTCCTGTTACTAGCATTCTTTGAATAGTAGTCAAAGCCAACTAAAAACAAGTGTGTCTCACATTATAACTCTTTCTTTTTCTTTCTTTCTTTCTTTCTTTCTTCTTTCTTTCTTTCTTTCTCTTTCTTTCTTTCTTTTTTTTTTAATTAAAGAAAGGGTGGATTTTTTGTTGATCTCTTTGTAAGAGTATCTAACCAAGTTGCAGTGAACATGTACAAGCGGTTGGGCTACAGCGTATACAGGACAGTCATAGAGTACTACTCAGCCAGCAATGGGGAGCCCGACGAAGATGCCTATGGTGAGCTCCCTTCTGTGGCAGTATCCCCATAAAGAAGCCAAAACATTTACATTCATTCTACACACGGAAGTAGTCCTTTTAATACATTTAAAAGAACCATATTTGTTGGACTTAATATTTTAAATTTGAGCTATAATATTTAAGTCTCCTTTAACTTGTCTTTATGAACCTATTAACGGATTAATTTACATTAACCAGTGGTTAATTACTATCAGTTGTTTATGTTATACGCATGTTAATCTTACTAAGATTTTGTCAAAAGAACATTGATAGGAAGAGCTGAGTACTTGTGACTGGGAGTCTCTCTTAAAAACATGTCTCTGAGGACCTGGTAAACGTGGGGGTGGAACAAACCTCTTATGGGAACTATATATATAAATATATACACACATACACACTTTGATATAAGACATTTTGGTAGTTGGGTACTTATATTAAATTTTGCTTCCTAACAGATATGAGAAAAGCACTTTCCAGAGACACTGAGAAGAAATCCATCATACCTTTACCTCATCCTGTGAGGCCTGAAGACATTGAATAACCATGAGCAGTGGTTCTTAGGCTGATGCTCCAGATATTTTATGGACAGTATTATTTTCATTGGATGATCTTGGAGCTGTATTAGGAGAAAAGTAATTATTTAGGTCTTACAGACTTCAAGAAAATACAGGTTATAAACTTGAGTCTCATTGTTTCCAGTTAGCAATATCATACCTACTAAAGCCTTTCACTGTAATAAAATTCAATCAAAAAAGGCAGCTAGGTCAGATGGAAACATTCCACTATTTTGGTTCATAATATTCACTATGTGCTAGGGAAAAAAAACTTGCTCCAGTCTCCTCCTAAATTCTGTGCCTGAGAACCACTGCTGCATATGTATTTTTTATTTTGTATCAAACTGTTAATTGAAGCTTTAAAAGCATATATGAAATGTATAAATCTAAGATGTATAATAAAATGCACTGTTGACTCTGAATGTGTTCTGGAAGCTTATTGGTCCTTTATAAAATTGGATCAGGATTGGGGGCATCTGGGTGGCTCAGTGGTTGAGCATCTGCCTTTGGCTCAGGTCATGATCCCAGGATCCTGGGATCGAGTCCTGAATTGGGCTCCCTGTGCTTCTGCCTCTGCCTGTGTCTCTGCCTCTCTCTCATGAATAAAATCTTTGAAAAAAAATTATGTTTTACTATTCCTTAAAATTTTTTTTTTCAAAATATAAAAAGATACTGAGATTTCTTTAAAGGAGAAAAAGGACCTAATTCCTACAGAAAGGCCATAAAACTAGGTCACGGGCTATGCTTGTATTTTCATGTATAGTTTTACTTGTAATACGTACCTGAAAATATCCAGTGAGTAAAAGAAGTTGCTGAAGAAGAACCCATAGAAATGATTATTAAAAAGCTTTTGCCCCTGAAAGGACTTACTCTGGTGTTGAGGTTAAGAGAAATCTTTTATCTTCTCCCCTGAGAAGGTAAACTTTTTCCTTCATGCATTTCATGCTGGCACTTGGCCAGAAAGTGGTGTTAAGAGGTTACATTGGGAACGTGACCATTAGTTTTTGTTCTTACGCAACATAAATGGGACAGAATTACAGGAAGACTGATTAGTCACTTATATTAGCATTTTGACCTGCTTTTACCTCACCCTTGGACTCTGCATCTGCACTTAACCAAAGGGTATTAAAATCAGAAATGCTCCTCCTGGCCAACTAGACAAGACCTCAGTAGTCCACAGTTAGGACCCATGTGACACCCAGCAACTGGGGTGACACTGGTCCAGACCCTGAAGCACTGAGGGTGAACACAGATGTGCCTTTGATCCTGGCCATCCTAGTTGCCTCTGCCCTCAAACACTAGCTGACTTTCAAGATACAATTTAGGAATGTACTGACTAGCTTTTTTTATTCCTTTTTTTATTTTATTGCTTTTTTAAAAATTCCGTAACATTTTTGTAAATTTAGTAAGTTTACCCAGTTAAATCTGCAAATAACAAGTTTGCCAGTTGCCCTTCCACGTGAAAAAATACTCTTGAAGATGACAAGTCAAATAGCTTGGGCAATTAAACAGGCTTGAGAAATCAGGCCAGATTAAAGAAAATACTCAGATCAGTTATTAATTAAGCAAATATTCTTTGCTTGGTATGAGTAATGTGTCAACAAACATGTTCTCATCTCTCTGCTACTTGGTTTTTGTTTTGTTTTTGGCACTATAGTTGGGCTATCTTTGGGGTTTTTCACATGTTCTAAACCCAAGGGTAAGTTATATGTGTCCTGTATTACAGTAGCTACTTTCTGCTGTAGCACGCTAGGGGATGTCTATAGGTGTGCCAGGTAGCAGTGATTCTCTTGTCCAGTAAGGATGGGAAACACGCCAGCAGCGCCACTGAGGGTTCATGATGCACAGCAGCATACCCAAGGTTCTGAGAAGCTGAACTGTAAACAGATTTGATTAACAAAGCTCAACCCTTAATCTAGGGTTTCCCAAACTTCCTAGAGTAAGTGACACTCTTTTTCACAGCACATGTTTTACTATTCCTTAAGCCATTACAGGGCTCAGCCAGTCGGGGAACCTGATTAAGCCATAACTGAAATTTGACTAAAACTTTTGGTAACAAAAAGATCTTGTTGGAAACACGGTAACTATAAATTATTTCCCAACTAGCGTTTTCAGAAGCACATAGTACCAATGGCCACTGTTAAGAAGGTACAGATATTTAGAAGTTAATCTAAGCACATTTCAATTCTACAAGGATGAACATGTTTAGGAAAGTGGCTGGAAATGAACATTTTATTGAGCCCTCACAATGTGCCAGGTCTATTCCATTTCTAATGTAATCTTCAAAACAAACTGGCAGAAGGCCATTTTGTAAGTGAAGAAACTAAAAGGTTAAGTTATAGATCACTAAATGGCAGAGCTGGGAATGAAACTCAAGTCCGTGTGACTGAAGATTCAGAAAAGTTGGAGGTTTCAGGTGAGTGTGCTCTATATATCATTATGAAGAAAAGTATGATAAAACCATCTTAAAAGTTACTGTAGAATGTAACTTGAACATCTCTAGAAGACCACTTTCAAAAATCTGTAGGTCCATCTAAAATCGCTGAAAGCATTACCTCAATTAGATTTCCTAATGTGTGATGTGGACCAAAAAAAAATGCTTAGACTCAGATAAATCCAGCAGTTAGAAAAATTTACTTGCAATCCCCCAACCCCTCACTTACCCCAAGAGCATTTTAAAAATAATTCAAAAAGTAGCTATCAAAGACTCCAATCAATTCGTTACTGGTGAGGTGTAAAAAAACTTAGAGTCACAAGAGTTCCAAATGATTAATTTATAAAAATAATAAAACATTTATCAAAATGAACAAGAAAATCAGGATTCAGTCTCATCAATGTCCTTATCTGGGTCTTGCTCGGCAGCCTCCTTTTCCTGTTGTTGTTTCTTCCAAAGTTTGGCCATGGCCAGGAGCTTGAGGTTGGGCTGGTTGGCAGCATCTTCTGGAAAGATGTAATCATAGTACTCTTCCCAGCCTGCATCAGACTATGGGAAAAAAAAAAAAAAAAACACAATGAAAAGATAAGCTAACACGTGACTGAAATACACTGCAGTTAAAGTGCAGAATTTTCACCGCAAAACCCACAGAGTTCTTCAAATTTAACTTAGGTTCATTTTACGAAACCACACCAAAGCCCATCTCAGAAGAACCAGGGCTGGCTTGCAAGATTGGGCTAAACAAGTAGCTGTTGGGTGATGGACATTAAGGAGGGCAGGGGATGTGATGAGCACTCAGTATTACAGAAGACTGATAAAACTCTAAATTCTACCTCTGAAACTAATTATATACTACATGTTAACTGAATTAAAAAACCCCAAACAGTAGATGTTGGGGTTGGGGTTGCTACAAGTGGAGCTCACTGAGAGCTAAAAACCAGTGGAAAAAGATCCTAAAAATCAAAGCACAGCTCCTCCTCTTTCATCAACCAAGATATCCCATGTTCCATGTCCACCTTCATCTAGTTTTCTAAGATTTTAAGTTTTTAAAGACTTACTTAATACTCAGTAACCAAAGTCATACATCTGTGCACTATTATTCTGACTCCTTGCCCTTACAGCCCCACCTCCAATTGGTCACTTATTTGGCTTCCTAAAGACTACTAGTTCCAGCTTCCACCATCACTTGCTTTGCTTACAATAGCCTCCCCGATAGGTCCTCCTCAACTCTGAGCCCCTTGGGTATGCTTGCAGGAGATGCCAACCACTGGGTCATGTTATTTTGTGCATAAGGGCCTTCCTATAGCTTATAAAGTCTGTGGCTTGGATCCTACCTAAAAGCTAAGTTTCATTTCCCTTCACACTGACCTCCTGTTTAATGCTCCAGAAACATCATGCTTCATATAGCTCCCGGAATCAACCACCTCCCAGAAACCTTTGCCACCTGTCTCCCATTCTCCACCCCTGGGTGATCTATATACTCTGCTCTGTGTTTCCAAGGTAGACAGACTGCAACCATCTCCTACTCCAGGCTATCTGCTCCCATGTTCAGATTCATATATGACACTTAAAAGTACAAATTTCAAAGTCAGATGCATTTCTGCTCATCTGACATGAGATGACCAGCACCAGAGGCTCAGTTCTTACCCCATCATCAGTCTGGACCTTTCTTCTCTTTTTGACTTTCTCTGGCATGAGTTTGTCTACTCTTTCTTTATCTGATACTGTTCCAAATTCATCTTCAAAGCTTCGCCATGATTCCAGCAACATAAGTCTCTCTTCCTTTTCTTCACAGTTCCTCATGGTTTTGTTAGCCTCTTCATAAATCTGTCTGCATTTAGCCAAACTTCCTTCCTTCCTTGATGATAGCTCAAACTGTGCAAAGCTGATCCATACCTTTAGAAAAATTATTACAGAAGCAAATTAACCATGTCACCCAGAAAATGGTCATGTAGTAATGCTAATTCTAGTTAATGACATCTGAACATACTAACGTGTTTATCTATAGTATTCCAAAGAACATATTGATTATATGCTTCAATAATGTTGAAATCAGTCTGCTTCTCTAACCAATTAGGTATTTGAAATAGTCGTAAAATCCTGAAAAGAGTTTAACTTTTTACTCAATTCTATGATATTCAACTTATTCCCATGCAGTATAAATACTGACCTGCTATAAGCTTTATATCACAAAGTCCTCTGAGACTCAGAGGCTCTTTCTAAATGCAAGAAAATCATTACAAACCAAACTTGAAACACTTAAAATACAAAAATATGTTATTTCCTTCAGGACTGCTGATTCAACCAAAATCAGAGAGAATCTACAGAGTGCAGGGTACCTTGACATGCTGTGTCCGCTGAAGCAATCTTCGGTAAAGATTTCGTGTTCTCTCAGTTTCTTCCTGCTCAATTTCAAAATCAATGTATGATTTCCAAAGCACCTACAAAAGAAAACTTAATAAATCAGCCTTGACATTTATAGAGCAACACGTCCCTATCCAAAGCTGAGCTTAACTACCATTCCAACCTAGAACACCTAGAACCTAGGAACTTCTATGAACAGTTAAGGAACAGGCAGCATCTGGACACAATAAAACCAGTGGTGTTTACAAGCTGGCCAAAATGTGGTTACCATTCTACATTATGAGATAAAAGGCTTTGGATTCAGGATTCATTTTTGGATTTTCTTTCAGAGTTTTTCAAATGCTAGACTTACCAAGAAAAGCTCAGAGATTGCCAAGTCTACTAGACACTGCCATGATCCTATCAACTTGACATTGCCAGAAGACATGCCTGGATTAGCCAGGATATATTCTTCTTACCTCCACTGTAAATTCCTTCATGTCTGAGTACCCAGCCTACTTGCTAGGTACTGCCTGTCAGAGAAAAAGGATGAAGTAAAACATGGCCTGGACGCCTAGCAGTGGAGGCCAGCCAACGGAACCAATAATACACAAAGCCCTGGCCTATGCAGCCCAAGCCATAAAA